GAGAGAGAGAGAGAGAGAGAGAGAGAGAGGGAAAGAGAGAGAAAAAGAAAAACTGTTATCATGTTCCTACCCCGTCGCTAGTATGTCCGTACGATCCGAAGTCGGAGCCTCCCTCGTGAGAACCGGAAGATCCGCCATTCTTCTGCTGGCTCAACGACGACAGGCTGCCAATCTTCGATGTCAAGAGATTCGCGAGAAGCGAGAGCGCATTCGAGCCACCTTTACCTTCGTCCGAAGATCCTGAATTGTAAGGGAAATCAGCCGATTGAAAGAGATTCCGCGAGATTGCGGAAGACAACAGCTCGTTTCTTTCGTCTTACCTCCACCGTAACCGTGGTCGTGGTCGTGGTCCTGGTCGGGCTTCGACGCGGACGCAGAAGCCAATCCCTGGGCGATGGAGCTGAGCGGCGCGAATTTTGAAACGACAGCGCCGGTGAGGCCCTGCTTCGCGCTCGACAGGAAAGTCTGCGCGCTGTGCAACACCGGCCCGATGCTGCCGCTCGCCGCCTTGACCTTCGAAGCGACCAGCTCGTTGATGAACTTGGTGGTCGCCGAATGCTTCGTGTCGATACCGTACGCCGCGTTCTTCACTTTGTTCGCTTCGTCCAACGCCGACAGAGCCTTGGTCTTCGAGTCGAGGAACGAGTCCAGCTTCTGCAACAGACAGAATCGTCTCGATGTCAACAACGGAACTTTTAATCGTGCGGCCAGACTTGCTGACAATTATCTTACGCCGAAAACGAAGTTGATTATCCCGTTCGACACGCCTAGCTTCAGCACGCCGATATTCCTCTTGTCCTTGTTGGTCCCGTCCCCGTCTGCCTGGTCGTCGTCAGCCTCCACAACGTATATCTGATTGAAATTGAACCGCGTTAATCTTCACTCCGGACCGGGGAGAAACCACTTTCCCCCTTGCCGCGAGTCGAACGATCCAGTTGATGAAATAATCGGCGAAAGGAGAGAAAGGATTGAACGTTTAACGTTACCATTCACGTATGTAACATCGAAATGGATGGTGAAACTTCAAACAATCTCGAGCCATCATTCGCGAGTTTCCGAGGATTGGGATTTTCTATCAAACGTCAAAGA